TTACCCCATCCATGTCCTTTTTCATATGGAGACTCTTCTTGAAACTGATTCCCACTGATAATATTTTAAAATTGAAAGAGCTTAGGGGTCCCTCCAGATGCACTTTCTGCCAGTCTCATGAGGAAACTATTACCCATCTTTTCTTTGATTGCATTTGGGTACAGGATGTTTGGTCTTTTGTGATTGGTAAACTTAGGATCCCAACAATGAATCTCACATGGAAGGTTTTCTATACTAGCTGGTCTAATTGGAGGGGATCTATACTCCAGGACACCCCAATATTGTGGCATGGTTTGTGTGGATGGCTAGAAACTAGGCAAAGCATGATAACTCCCATCTTGAGCCTATAAGGGTGGGTCTCAATTGTATTGCTTTCATTCAAAAACTGATTAAATTTAAAAAGTTTGAGGCAGTGTTGGAGATTGGTCCTTTTCTCAAGCCACATATTTCCAAAGTTGTGACAATTTGCTGGACCCTCCCAAAGTTTGGCTGGACCAAAATTAACATGGATGGCAGCCGCAAATCTTAGTCTGCTGGCATTGGTGGGGTTTTCAGGAACTATGAGGGGAAATGTATCTTATATTTTCAATCTCCTGTTAATGCTTTTGACTCACTTGAAGCAGAATGTCAAGCAGTTTTTTGGGCCATCACCTTAGCCAGATCTTGCCTGTTAGATCAGTTATGGGTTGAATCTGACTCCTTGCAACTTATTAACATTATCCATGGGTCTTCAGATACCCCATGGAACTTAATCAGCTCGATCTCTGGTATTCAGCAATAAATTTTGTTTTGCTCTATCAAGTTCTCCCATATTCACAGAGAAGGAAATAGACCATCCAAATAGACCATCCAATTGGCTGGGCAATTGGCTGGGTAGAAGGGGTCTCTATACAGAAGAACCTTTAGTGAGCAGAAGGATTCCACTCCCATTGGACTTTCTTTTATCCAGTGACCTGTTGCCTCTCCCTTATATCAGACAACACCTGTAGTGGGCTTGAGAGGTTGCCTTCCTTTATGAAGGCCCTCTCCTGTCACCTTTTTTTCTTTTCTTACCCTTTGTATTTTGTTTTGGTTTCTTTAATTAATTGGAGCTCTGATGGGAATATATATATATGTATTGTTTTCCAAGTACCACACCATGTAACTGACTTGGCTTTGTTTTCAATGAATTTGCTACGGGGTAATTCATAGTGAGTACTCCTCAGTAGCCTTTTGGGAGCAATGAAAGGGTGAAATTTACTGTATATATATATATATATATATATAACAATTACAAGGCATTAAAGCAAGCGAGAGCCATATTATCTCCATAATTAAAAAAGATAAATGTGAAGTAGGAGCATTCCCAACATAAGTCTACTTTGTGTTCCTTCCCAAGGAAGCAAGCCAATGAGCAGGGCAGTTGCCATCCCTAGGAATGTGCTTAAATTCCACCCTCTAGAATTTTAACAATAGTTTCAGTTGGTTATTCCACCTGAGTAAGTTCCAAGAGGGAGCCTATTCACTAAGCAAAGTGTTGATGCAAACAGTAGAGTCAGTTTTTATAATCAAAGGGCCCATATGACATTGATGTGCAATTCTGATGGCCCAATAAATTGCTCTAAATTCTACCTCCAAAGCATCAAGGGCCAATATAGGAGCAGTGAAGTATAAAATACATTTTCCATGGGAGTTCCTAAAGACTCCCCCAACTCCAGCATTACCTTTTGAAAAACTGCCATCAGTCTTTACCTTCAGCCAGCCATGAATAGGGGGATCCAAAAAACTAATTTGGATTTGTGTGTATGAAAATTAGTCTTACTAGGGGTCCAATATTTGAAAACATTTGGGAACTGATGGTACTTAATCAACTTCTAAATGTATGAAGTAAAATTGAAGATCACAAATTTTATCCAAGAGAAATGTTCCTCAAACTTTACTTGATTTTTGTTTACTTGATTTCTACACATCCATATGAACCAAGCAACCAAACAAGGGATCACCAATAGATTAATATTCTGCTAATCCTCCCAGCAACTAATAAATTTGAACCAACTTAAGTTAAAAGTGTCAATTCTGAGGTGGTCAAGAAGCTCTGACCAGATTCTTTGAGAGAACTCAAAGGTGAAAAATAGATGATCTAATGATTCTTCAGCAACATTACATAGATGGCAGATTGAAGACCTCCTTTCATCTTTAAGATATCATCAGTAGGAAGTAAGGAATTCCAAAGTCTCCAACAGAAGAATGACATAGAAGGAGTTAGGAGCTTACCCCAGATGGCTTTACCCCAAGCCACCTGATTCTAATGGAACAATTGATGGTAAATGTAGGCAGACAACTTCTGAGATTGGGCTTGTTTAGTAACCATCTTTTCTTTTTGATTAGGTGAGAATGGAGTATACTTAACCCATCTAACTTGCTCACTAGACAAGACATTGTTGAGCATCCTGTAGTTCCAATGATCCTCAAACCAGTAATCTTTAACCTCACTGTTAAAGTTGGGGTTGGGAATAGGACATTCAAGCTTCTCCCCTTTACAAACCCAATGATCCAACCAAAAATTAACTTACCCTTCTCCTAGCTCCCATAGAAAAAGCTCTTCTACTGGATTTCTAATACTCAACAGTTTGGACCACATCCTAGAATCTCCCAATTTTTTAGTTACCAGGATAGGATGCATAAATCTGCAATACTTCCCCATCATAAATCTGGCCCAAAGATTGTCCTGGGCCCTAAATCTGATCCACAACTTATAAAGGTTGATAAAGTTCAGTAGTTGAAAGTCTTTGAAACCTAGACCTCCAGCCTGCAAGGGTTTGCACACCTTCTGCCAAGGAAGCTAGTGATAATGTTTCCTTTGTCCAGACCAAAGAAATTTTTTGAAAATTCTTCCAATTGCTACTTGTTTACCCTTTTGCGTAGTAAACATTTGAAGAACATATTGAGGAATGGCAGTCAGAATGCTCCTCAGAAGAGTGATCCTCCCACCATTTGACAGAAAAGAGTTAGTCCAACAATCAAGCTGAGCCTTGAATTGATCAATTACTTCTTGAAATTGGATATTTCTAGTTCTACCTTTAATTAATTGAACACCAAGATACTTGATGAGAAGAGTGGCATGATTGAACCCAATGTATTTAGAAATCCAATGCTTGATCTAACTAGAGTTAGTACAAACAAGAAATTGACAGTTCTGCTGATTAAGATCCATACCCGAAGCTTTTTGAAAGTGTAGAAGGCCTTTGTACAACATCCTAATAGTATATTTGGAGGCATTTGAGAATATGATAATATCATCTGCATAAGCTAAATGGCTTATTATAACGTTGGATCTATGATGGTAAGCCAAATGAGGTGAAGCAACAAACAACTTATTCAGTAATCTAGAAAAGTAATCCAGAGCTAGGATGAAAATAATAGGAGACAAGACAAGGGGTTGATTCCCCTAGAAGCATTGAAAAAACCATGACATTTGCCATTAATCAAAATTGAATGAGCATTACACTTAAACACTTTGTGAATCAGATTAATGAACTCTCCATTAAAGCCTCTAGCAGATAAAGTTTCTAGAATGAAATCCCAATTGATTGTGTCATAGGCCTTACTTATATCAAGTTTCAAAATAGCATTTCCCCCTATGCATTTCCTATCAAGATCCAATAGGAGTTCCTGGACAAGCAAGATATTGTCAGTAATATTTCTCCCTTTCACAAAGGAAACTTGATTATCACTGATGAGGTTCTGAAGATGTGGTTGAAGCCTGAAAACAATAATTTTGCTAATTAGTTTGGAAATCACATTAGATAGACTGATGGGCCTGTAATCCCACAGCTTTTCCTATTCTGATTCTTAGGTATTAAGGTAATAGTCGAAGCACTGAAATATCTAGGAGGATCCACTCCATTAAAGAAGTTTTGAGCAACATGTATAATATTCTTACTATTCTTGCCCCAAGTGACTTTATAGAATGTTGAAGTATACCCATCTGACCCAGCAACCTTTTGGCTATCAATAGAATCTAAAGCAAGCTTAATCTCTTCTTCCAAAGGAATACTAGTCAAATTGAAACCTTGAA